ATGGCTGAAATTTGTCATTATCATTTCACACCAAGAAAAGCGTTTGCTTTTAACTTGTTTTATTTGTGCTCTACTTTTTGTTTTCAACCCTTTCCGTTGATAAGGCAGACTTTTGTAATCCGCTGAAGTTTCAGCGCGCTTCACTACACTGATATTGCATCGATAAACTCCCGGTTCCAACGAATCTGCGAGCAATGGGACTGGATTGGAGCCTTGACGGAGAAGCGGCGCAAAAACCTGGCTGAGTTGGAACAGTATCTGGAGAAGATCGACCAGCTACAGCTGGAGTTTGCCAAGAGGGCACCGGTACTTGTTTCACTCTATGTGTTTTTAACCGCGTAGTGTTTCTTCGATGATTTTCATGCCCTTAATTATAGCCATGATATCGTCTTTGTTCCTTGAATGACAAGTACCTTTATGCATAATTTTATAATTATAATTGGTTATTTGCACTTAGAATGTCAGTTATAATATTTTTGTTTCTTCTATGTTTACCTTTTCATTTAAATTATCATATAAGCTTCAACTGATGCCAAAAATTGCATCCATAGATTCATTTCTTATGAATATTATTAATAATTGTAGTTAATTGCTACAGACCCAGAAAAAAAAATAGTGTATATCATAGATATGGTGTTGTTCAGTTCAAACAAACATGAACAGACTTTAATGATAATAAATGAAGAAAGATACGGTTGGAATCCTGGTAAACTATATGCAATTGTAAATGGAGTTTTAGAACCCATGTCTGTGTTCCTTATTCAGTAAAAATTATTAATTGTCTATTATCATAGTGTTATTTCTCCGTAGGTTCGTTCTTCTTGTGACTGTACCTGATTGTCATAATTTTTAAAGGATTAACACTGCATATAAATTTTATTAAAATGAAGCCCGACGTTTCGGATCGAAGTAGATTCATCTTCACAGTGACAAAAGATAACGAAACGTACAGTGCCGTTGTATGCTGCATAATGATTGTAAGGTGTGCAGATACGGTCGACGAATTATTAATACGTACTGCACTTCGAGCTGGAAAGTTCACCCCTGGTCTTCCTCGGCATCTCCATTTTTATTCTTCTGGACTGATAAAAAGTTCTCTCCGTTGATTCGCATGCCTGTATCATCAACGCTTCTTTTATTTTCCGTCTCTGGGGATCTCTTTCGCGGCATACCTCTAATATTTTTTCGCTCAACCTTGTTTCATCGCCTGTTCGATACTGCAGAGTTTCTTTCGCGTACCCTCGTTATTTTTGTCCATTCCTTGTCGTTTCTCCCACGCCATTTTTTATCTTGTACATTTCCCTGTGATCACCATTGTTGCATCTTGTGTGGTATGAGTGACTATCTTCCCTCTTTTCTTCGTACCTGCTTCCGTTTCCCTCAGCGTACGTCCGCATTTGCAATGGATAGTACAAATCCACTTGTACCTCACGGTGTGAAACAGTGCCAATCAGACAGAAGGTAAACATATGGATGAAAGCGACGTAAGAGTAAGCAAACGAAGGACCCGACGGAAATAAGAAGGGAATACAAAAAGAATTTCACACTGATCGATCACGCGGGGAAAGAGGGTCATACACTTAACTGGAAAAACATAAAAGGGGCTGTCAGAGCGGAAAATAAAAGTGGTGCTGTTGATGCAGGCATGAGAATATGTGAACAGAGACAACGGAGAGGACTTGTCAACAGTGTAAAAGAATACAAATGGAATTGGTGGGAAGACCACCACTGAAATGCGCCTGAACTTGCAGCTTTCGCTGCAGTTCAAATCAGCAATTCGACAATCGTGTCTTTGCTATCTTATGATCATTGCGCAGTATATAACGGCATTGACATCTTTTTGTTATACTTGCTGTTACATGCTATATTTGCATTATGTCTGAAGATGTAGCTAGTTCGATCCGGATTTATTTCATATGATTTATTTGCGGTTTTAACCTTTTGAAAGTTATGACGATCAAAAACTTTTCACTCTCAAAGAATTTAAGTAATATCTTTAAGGCTGTGATTGCAATTATGTTATGTTCTCCGTTTGAAAGGAAGCAGCTTGAATAAATTTATTCCTCATTGGATAATTATTGATAATTATAGTAAATTAGTTTTGTCTCGAAATATGCTAATATGATTAAATTTCAAAGGTGCCATAAAAGAAAGCAACCATATAGGCATTAAAATGTAGTTCTGTAAATGGTTGCTGCAGCAAAAACACGTTCACCTGTAAAATGTACACACAACTGTAGTACATGTGTTGTGTAATGCTTGTAACGTTACGCGCAGTTACTTTAGCCGTTCAACAACTGGCTCGAAGGCGCAACCGAAGATCTGCAGGACGTGTTCATTGTGCACACAATGGACGAGATCCAGGTTGGTTATAAAATACTTGTGGAAGGGGATTTGTTTCGATTCCGGACGCGTTTCTAGAAACTGGTGCAAGGACACAACGCGTTCAAGTCGACGTTAGACGAGGCTGAACAGGAGTTCAGGCACATCGCCACTATTGAACAGGAGGTGTCACGACTTGTCGATTCGAGCAAGCTGTCCAGGAGCGTCCTGGCCAACCCGTATACCGCGCTGACTGCTGCACAGATACAACGCAAATGGCAGGAGATGCATGAGCTAATTCCGCGCCGAGACATGCAGCTGCAGCAGGAATTGGACCGACAGCAGGGTAACGCGAACGCGAATTTCACATGCAGCTTTCCCCTCCCCCCCCCTCCCCATCCCACACCCCGCAGTTGGTTCTTGTCAGTTGCACATCTGCATGGTTCATCATTACATTGATTAGTGATGAGACAGTATACACGTTTTGGCAACACTTTTATGACTGTTACGTGACGTACGAGTCTATGAGTCGTCATGCCCGTTCAGAGCTTAAAAGACGTTGGCGACAGACTCTTTGCTCATGTCCGTTTAAGGGGTTTACGCCATCTGTGACCGCAAATCTTTATATTTGAGCTTGTAGTTAGATTGTTCTACTTTTAGAATGATTTGGTTTCAAGACGTGAAAAAGTGTGTTAACCCATGTTGGCATTGCATCTTCAAAGCATTGGATTTGTCTTTCTTCCCACCCCCACCCACTTCCAATTTG